TGATATTGATTTCCTGCAATGTAAAAAACAAGCAAAAATAGCAACTAGCACTGGGCACTGGGTCAATAGGTTAGTCCCAAAAAATGATATAAAGTTGCTAGAAAATGATTGTAAAACATCCAAGAATGATAATATAATGGCATGGATACTTCATAAATTATATATACGTTGGAGACGTATCAGTATTGCAACACCCTACAGCGGGGCCCCCTCACTTTTGCGCGAGACAGAGGGCACCATAGGACAACACCATAAATAAAATATACAATCATACCAACCAAGATCACGATTAACCCATAGGACAAAACGGATCTACTCAAACATCATAGGATAGCCAAATATCATTAGGAAATAATATATGGAGTTGAGCACCATGTTTAAGTAGAGATTACAGCGTGGAGAAGGGGTGTTACACCGCTGCATAGAGGGGGGGGGGAGTTGGTGTTGACGGTAGCAAGATTGTCGATGTAGATCGCCGCCACGATCCTAGCCCCGGCGGCACTCCGGCGCCACCGAGAGAGAGGGGGAGAGACTTCGCCTCCTTCCGCTTGTTCCTTGGCCTCCCCCTAGATGGGAGGAGAGTTCCCCCTCTGTTCCATGGCCTCCATGCCGGCGGAGGGGCGGGAGCCCCTCTGAGATTGGATCTCCCTCTTTGTTCTCTTCTGTTTCGCATTCCCCAGTTCTGGCCCTTCATGGTTTCTTAAATTCCCAGAGATCCGTAACTCCGATTGCGCTGAAATTTTTACACGATTTCCCCCCCACAAATTATCTTTCTTGCGCCAAAAGAAGGGCTCCAACCAACGTTCGAGGAGGGCACAAGACACCAGGGCGCGCCTTGGCCCTGGTGGCGCGCCCTAGTGGGTTGTGGGCACTGTGGGCCCCCGTTTGCGTTGATTCCACCTCCCAAAAATCATAAATATTCCAAAATAATTCTCCGTAAATTTTTATCGCGTTTGGACTTCGTTTGATATGGATTTTCTACGAAACAAAAAACATGCAACAAACAGGAACTGGCACTGGGCACTGGATCAATAGGTTAGTCCAATAAATCATATAAAAAGTTGCCAAAAATATGTGAAAGTTGTATAATATTGGCATGAAACAATCAAAAATTATAGATACGACGGAGACGTATCAGTGTGCTCCAGAGACGTATGTAAAGGTGTGGTGGTCGCTTTCAAGACCAACCCCGAGTGCTTCGAGGCTCGTCCATAGGGGTGAGTTGAGGAGAATACAATGAGCCTTCCGTGCCATTACAGAAGCCTTGACTCCAGCACCGCTCCAAAGGGGATTAACACTTCTGTAGGAAAGTGTGAACGTTGGGATAAAATCCGCATCATCGACTCACTTGTGGTTAACCCTTTCCTGCCCTTTACCTTGCTTGGTATGCTTGTGGGCTTGCTAATTATATTTGTTACCTAGATTACATTGAAGTGAGCTTGCTTTCCATAATATGATTGTTCATCTAGTTGCATTTCTATATAATTTTATTTATTCGCAATTCCCTAAAATTGGTAATTAAGCTTAAAATTTGTAGTCTCCTATTCACCCTCTCTAATAGACCATATCGATCCTTTGAATTGTTACCAGAGCTAAGGCTCTTTTATAGGGCTTAACCGCATAAGAGGATATGAAAGATCAATAGGATG